CGCTGAATTCCGCTTCTGGCACTCATATCCTTGGACGGCGTCCACGAGCGAGCGAAGCAGTTACAGTATTCAGCACCGAATGAGCTTCATTTTGAAATCTTGCTCATTTTTATCCTACCCAGGTATTGAAATCCATTACGAGTATACAGTAAAATATCCACACCATCGAGGACCTGGTGAAGTGGAGTAATTTTGCAAATATTCTCTTGTATCCAAAAAACACTCACTATTGATCAACAAGTGTGTTGAAGTAGATTAGAGGGTCATAGAACACTCTTGTTTACGATCGTTGCTTTCCACCGAATGCTGTTTAAAACTGATTTTTGGATCCTTCATTATTGTTGTTTGTCATCAATTGTTGACTAGCTAACGCGTTCGATAAGCAAGCGACCAGCGAGAACGATGGCTTTCCTGTAGATGGCGGTGCAGAAACCGACCATACGAGAAACCAGCGCGAAAATGTTCTCTTAAAAAAATTGAAAAATATCTGTGTCGCGTGGCCACATACGCGGCTTTGATGCACGACTGCAATGCACGCTTGATATTTAATTTTTGATTTATTTATTTATTTACTTATTTATTTATCTATTATTATTTATTATTAATATCTTAATTTATCGTACAGCAAAGGAAAGCAGAAGAGTAGAACTACCCGTCACCGCGTCTACGACCTCCCACATGGACTAAACGACACCTCCCCCTCATTGCACTTGTGTCAACTGCGGTTTACCCAAATCCCTTTTCTTTACATCGAGGGTCTTTGAAAAAGATCTTTTTCTTTGAAATCCACTTGGCTGATTAGTTCTCCTTAACGATTGATCGTACCAGAACCCTGAAATCCCACTGTTGACTACAGTAATTCCTGGTTCAAAGCTTCCACGAGATGTCGTTCAACAAAATCCAAAATTGTTTTTATTTCTAAGCATTTCACAACCTGATGATAATACAAGATACGTGAAATTTACACGAGTCAAATTCATTCAATCCTATACATAAATAACTCGTTAATTACAAAAGTGTACATGGCAGTTAAATCTGCTTAGGATTGCATGGCTTCGGCGCCCTCGTGCATCTTCTTGCCCATATAGTCTCGGGCGTCGTTAGCCTGAAAAATCATGATTTTTACATAAATCTAGACGTGATATCATGGTTTTTAAAGTGTATGAAAGATTATTATGAGGTAATATTTCTATTACATCTTAATGATTTCTTGGGAACGAACCTTATCTTTTGCCGCTTCCTTGCCCTCGTGGAGCTTATCCTTTGCAGCCTCAGCCTTATCCTTTGCCGCCTCTTTGCCCTCATGGAGCATACCTTTCGCGGACTCTTTACCCTCGCAGGCCTTATCCTTTGCAGCCTCTTTACCGTCGTGAGCCTTATCCTTTGCAGACTCGTAATTGTTCTTTGCAGCCCGTTTGCCCTCGTCGACTTTCTCTCCAGCGTTATCAGCGGCTTCCTGTGAGGCACCAGCAACCTGAACCAATACATTAAAAATCGGATAGCCAAGTCATCAAATGTTAGAGGATCGAACCTCTACTAATCAAAATTGGAATGCGCCATGCGCTCCACATTGGAGTTCTAAGTGGATTCTGAGGCCAGTAGCTGACAGAATGAAATAACCTTTTCATAGCCGGCTGACATGGTATCTGCGACCTTCCCGTATCCAGACGCCAGGGTATCCTTTACTGCAGCGCCGGCACCGTATACCATATCGGTGGTTTTGTTAGTTAATTCCTGGGCTTTCTCACCAGCACTAGCCAACACTCCAGACTAGAAAACGCATATTTAAGTAAATTAATTAAAACATATTTTAACAAAATTAAAATTGCTGTACAGTAATAAACCTACATTGTTACTCATTTTGTAAGCGGTAGTAGTTGATTTGATTTCTGAAAAAATAACTCAATTATTAATAGGCGACAGACTTTTATTAGAACTTTGCGGCGGAATAGAGGCTACTGACAATCTTGGCTGAATGGGTAAATTTTAGATTGATTGAATTTTAAATTGCCAAATGTTACTAGAAGTACGTTTTATTAAGGTTTACTTATTACTATGAAAAGCAAACTTTCTTAATTTATGAGCAAATAAAAATAATGAGCTATAAATTCGGAAAATGAGGGTGTAATATGTAAATATGAACAAGGTATGCTATTAAAAGAGTTCGAAAAAGCCTTGTAAGTGAGAGGGGGCAATAGCTCGACTTCACTATCAAGAGCTGTGAGTCGCGGCCTTTTATGTGGGCGCCCAAAGAGGCAGATTGTTTACTACGCCCACTGATCTCTGGTCCGCTATTACGTTCTCTGACGTAGCGTGCTTCGAATAGTGAGGGTTCATGTTTTTGTTTGAGAAACATCGTACATATGGCCAGAAGCACTCATTTTGACCAATGAACTCGTTGGACTCAACACAATGTCTCTTTCCAATACTTGTTATGCGCACGAAGACAGCTCGTGTAATAAATAAATAAATAAATAAATATAATGTATGCTGGTTTAGTTTTACAGCAGAGACCAGTTTATCATGCAAGAAGTGTAGAGAACCTCTCAGCTGGTGCTTTCAGTTTTACGAGTATGTATTAGCCCATAGGGTTGGATGCGTGGCTCGATCGGGCAACGTCAGCGATTGCACGAATATGACCTTGTTCGACCCAATTTGCAGACCAGATGCAGATGTTTTCACTACAGACAGCGGAGCTGTTCAGAAGATGAGAAGCGCGTGTGAGCCTTGACAGCTACATTTGGAGTGCGCCATGCGTTTGACTTCTTTGTCAAAGTTTAGGGCAAACGGAACTCTCCAAACATGATTTTGAAATCAGAAGATTTCATTACCACTCAATCAAAAGTTTACTGTGATTATACCTAGCGCTTATACCTAGAAAGAAATGATCTTGCGCAAGTAGATGTAACACAGGGAGGAGAACTACATCTCTGGTATGATCTCCCTTGAGAGTGATGATTTTAATTCGCTGTAGTTTTTTCTACCACTGTCGGCAGCCGAAACCTGATCCTTCCCTGATTTTCCCTTTCAATCAACCATTTTCATAATCTTAGCTGCTTACAACTATTTTCAATGAATTTTTACGGCATTTTTTCCGTGCTAAAAGTTTTGGTGTCACAAAAGCGAGCGACGCTGTTACAGTATTCAGTACAGAATGAACTTCTCTTTGAAATCTTGCTCATGTTTACCTCACCCATACCCTACTCAGGTATAGAAATCCATGATGAATATACGGCAAAATATTCACACCATCGAGGACCTCTGAAGGGTGATTGGTGAGTAATTCTGCAAATATTCTCCTATTCCAAATATTTATCACTTTCACATTTATCACTTTTGAGCAACAAGTGTACTGAAGCAGATTGAAGGGTCATAGTACAATCTTGTTTGCTATCGCTGCTTTCATATGTTGGTTCGAACTGATTTTTGAATCCTTCATTATTGTTGTTGTTGTGTAATCAATTGCTGGCTAAGCTGACGCGTTTATGATAAGCAAGCGATCAGAAAGAACGACGGTTTCTCTGTAAAAATCGGGTCTGGAACCGATAATACGAACAAAAGCGTGAAAATGTCCCTTTGAAAAAAAAATTGAAAAATATCTGTGTTGTGTGGCCGCATGCGCCACGATGGCGCACGATTGCAATGCACGCTCAACCATGCGAGCTCGCCAGTGCAAAAGCGGCTCGGTACGCAATGGGTTAAGAAACCTATTGAGGCAAGGCGCCATTTTGAGAGTTGAGTTGTGCAAAAATAGATCTCTCAATCCCTTACTCTGAAAATGGGTACCCCCAGGAGGCCCGTCGCGCGACAAGAAGGCGAGTCAGCGGACGAGTTGCGCGCGTACTGTAGGGATTTCGCGTCAAGTTAAATAGAATGTTCCATTGTACGTCCTACATCGCACATCACGCTGCGACTCGTCCGCGACTCTGCCTTCTTGCCGCGCGACGGGCCTCCTGGGGGGTACCTCTCTGAAAATAGTTTGACGGCATTTTGGTATTGGCTATCCCGGAGCCTCATCAGGATCTAAACTTGTACAGTCTATTATACGGGCACGAAATTTATTCCAAGAAAATTCCAAAACTTCACAAAAGTCCGAATATTTTAAAAAATTACCTAAAAAACGAAAAAGATTCATTTGGAAGATGCCACGATAGTTCGGTGTACAGCAACTTTCTTCAGACCTAAAAATGATTCAAGAATTCTACAATATAGATAACATAATAAATATGATAAAATAATAATGAAATTCGGAAGGAATTCTTTTTCGATTTTTTGGCCTGTTTCTCTGGAATATTCGGAGTTTCCGTCAACTTTCGAATTCTTTTGGAATCAAATTTTAGGGCTTCTTCGCCTAACCACGCATTTTGTGCGACGGGTGTAGCACGGTGTCTGTAGGGAAGGACACTAATTATTCCTCCACGGTATCCTTTCAACAACTGAAGCTATCTCGGAAGCTTGCTTAAAGCAACAGTCCAGGCAGGGTTTCAACTACTTGGTCATTAGGCGGTCAAAACATGCCCCAGCCCAACTAAAGTTTATAGGAAATGTCTTTAAGTTCAAAACCTACCTCTAAAATGCGCTGGAAGGGGTCGAAGTCCCTCTTGGAGGGGGCGGATCACCCATACCGAGGCGGATCGCTCAACATACGCTGTGCAGAGTCCGTGCTTGACTAGCGGTCGTTGCGGGACCGCCGCGCTGTATGAGGTCGATTCCATAAGAACGCAATTGAAGCGCTTCAATTTCGATTGCTGGCAAATAGTTATGTATTTGCAAGCATGCAGCTATTTGCCAGCAGTTGCAATTGGAGCGCATGTACTACGGGCAGGTTCGGACAACTCGTCCAACACACGTCTCCCTAAACGGCAGGGGGAGTCCCTGTCTAAGCCCCTGCCCGACGTTTTTTTCTACTTTTTCTTTCTCCATTGACCAACTTCTCACCTGCAACGTCATTATAGGTGGTCCTTACCCGCGAATTCGTTCCTGGATTGTTGCTTTAAGCATCACTGCTGGGCTTGAGGGAAGTCTAATGCAATGTCACTCGCTGGTTAGTGAATGTATTCTCCTAAAGAGGTGATTTTCAAATTTCTCTTCTCTTCTCAAATTGTTCACCTTTGTTTGAATGTTTTATTGCCTGCTTGAATTGATGTTTCTTATTTTCCATTCCATTTTTTTACTCAGATACTGATAATACTGATTTAATACTGACAAGAGGGGGCGTTACGGCTTATATGATCCTCCCTTAACTTAACGAAAGATGATTTTTAAATGGTTCGAAAGATTCTCCATGGCTTAGTTGATCTTAAATCTGGAGATTTCTTTAAATTATATCCGTCCTCAACAAGGTCAATCACTCAAAAGATTTTTCTTCGTCGACCATGTTCTTCCATGAGTAGAAACTTCTTCACCTTTAGGGCTGGGTCTGATTTCTCAAAAATTAGCAAAAGAATACTGTGCCGGTTCTCTTACAGGTTTCAAAAAGCTGTTAGATCGTTATCTTTGTCTCGCTAATTAATAATATTTGTTACTCCTAAGTTGGTATTCATGTTATATTTTTCGCTATGCCTTTAGCTGTTGTTTCTTTTGGTACCTTGACGTTGTATTTTTTCTGTGTTTCCGGCTCTATCTACAATTGGTTAGCATGTAATAATAATAATTTGATATTTGAATTTGAATTATGTGGTCCTCGGACGGCACATCTCCCAGGGCATCAAAATTTCTGCGAGAATTAGATGTGTTAGAGTAATAATTGCTACACGGAACACAATGATGACTTTGCTTTGAAACCTGCTATAAAGAGCAACCATTCTCTGTGTCGTCCAAATAGCTGCTTTCCTATTTTCCAACCTAACTCTCGTTCTTGCCGTACGCGTTCACTCAAATTCATATCAGCTAGTTCCGAAAATTCATTCAAAAGGGACAAAACGCTGTCTGATGGTGGCAGTGCTCGTATAAGTCGTTTGACCCATGCATCAAAATTATTCAGTATGTTACTCATTTGGACGGACTCGTCTGCCTTACTCAAAGAAATCTTAGAAGAGGGGATTCACTAGCTCCTGTGTTAGGGCTACGGCCGCACTTCCTGGGCCTGAGTTCAGCAAATATCGCAACCTGGTTTACACACAGGCTAACCCTCGGAATTTTTTGGAAAGTAAAGCTGAGGAATGAAAGGATGCCCTACAGTATTTAAGGTTCTTCGGAATTATCTTCCTCCATTGTTCTGATTCACGAAAACAGCCGTTTTGAGAATTCAGAGCAAAATCGCGGTCTGCTATGGAGCGACGGGCTTTTTGGCTCGTCCGGGCTGGCACGCCGGGCAAATTGCGCGCGGTTGGCCGCCGCGGCGCGATTCGTCGAGCAAGTCTTCGCGGGCTTCTGCAGTGGAATTCAACGCGTGAAAGCGGATCGTGAATGAAATTCGCAAGGTTCTGCGATTTGAATTACTTTCCAGCGCATGGAGTTCACTAAGAAGTGGTGAGAAGAAAACATAGTGATAGGGCGCTCATGCAGTTGAGGGGGAGGGGGCGAGGACATTCGAATGTGCTTAGAATTAGGCCTCAGGGAGGGGAGGGGATTCTGATAGGGAATTGTGAGCAGTTTATGCTTTTTCTTGACTTCTCCCTCTCCTGGCAAGTGTTCTGAGTGTGATCTCCATCGCCCTGTTCGAATGATAAACCGTGAGGACAGAGTATCGCGATCAGCAAGCATACATAGTTGGACCTAAATAAACTCCTGAATGTAGTGCTTCTTATTCGCTTTGGTGATAGTAGTGACATTTTTATGAAGGTTCTCTCTCACATTCTGCGCTGAAATCCCTCACCGACACTACTGCATTCAAGTCTTCGCGCGCGGAAAGTTTTTCAAACTTGCAGAATCATTCGGAGTTTGACAACACGCGCACAGCGCGGCGAATTCTATTTTGTAAGAACGCGCGATGTCGGGGGCCCGTCCCTCGCATACCGCGTATCCGCCGCGCCGTCCGCTCAATTGCCGCGTTGCCAGCCCTGGACGCAGCACCAAAAAGTCCCCGCACGGCCGTGCGTATGGAATCTGTCGCAAAGGATCGATACTGGTGAGAATTAAGGATCTTCTCTCAAAAGGCGAGGGGGCTGGTGGATGTAAACTCTCACCCAGAGTCAAACACAGCTTGGTATAATTTTTTAAAATTTCAACGATCCCCCTCTTTTACAAGGGTCTTAATAAGACGCCACTGGGAAACCAGCGTGTATGTAGACGTTCAGTGTCTGAGAACAATTGTAGTGTGGCAATAGATTTTTAATATAATACAAATTAGAAGGGACGCCAATTGCATAGCTTAAGTCCTCGCAGAAAAGTTTATGACGCTTGTATGGTGTTTAAGTTGTTATCCGGTATTGCCCGAGTTGATGCATCCGAATTTTATGTCAAGGTAGTATCTAAACCAGAGGAGGGCCTGAGAAAATTTCATATGCAACGCCAAGAACTAACGTGAAGGCTCTATAGCTTCACCTGTCGTGCGGGGTCTATATATGCTTCTCTTAAATCTAATGTGGCACTCGTCACTCCCCCTTTTGTGCTTTTCAAACGCCTAGCTAAGAAAAATTTGTTGAGCTATAACTAGGTTATCTATAAGGAAAGATTGTTGTACTGTTGCTCATTTATCGTTTTTCCCACGACTGCCTTATGCGTCGTTTCAAATAAATAAATAAATAATATAAAATAAAAACATAGAGATCTTTATTTCTCGTACAGCATAGTAAAGCAAAAGACCCCTCAGCTGCGCTTGTGTCAACTGCGGTTTAATCTGCCTTCCATTCGAACTTCCTACATTTTACTGTACGTCTCTACTAAAGGTAAATACACACATGGACTCACCACGTCTTTCAAAGTGATCTCTTTACCTCTGAAATCCACTTGGCTGATTAGTTCTCCTTAACTTCTGACCGTACGACAAACCTAAATCCCATTCCTGGCTACAGTAGGTTCTGCTCAAAGCTTCCTCACGAGACTGGTCGTTCAACAAAATCCAAAATTGTTTTCATTTCTAAGCATTTCACAACCTGATAATAAGACAAGATACGTGAAATTTACACGAGTAAAATTCATTCAATCCTATACATAAATAACTCGTTAATTACAAAAGTGTACATGGCAGTTAAATCTGCTTAGGATTGAATGGCTTCGGCGCCCTCGTGCATCTTCTTGCCCAAATAATCTCGGACGTCATTAGCCTGAAAGAATCATGATTTTTACATAAATCTTGAAGTAATAAATCTTTTATGGAAGAGGTAATATTTCCATTACCTATCACTAATTTGCAGGAACGAACCTTATCTTTTGCCGCTTCTTTGCCCTCGTGGAGCTTATCCTTTGCAGCCTCAGCCTTATCCTTTGCCGCCTCTTTGCCCTCATGGAGCTATATCTTTCGCGGCTTCTTTGCCCTCGTGGAGCTTATCCTTTGCAGCCTCAGCCTTATCCTTTGCCGCCTCTTTGCCCTCATGGAGCTTACCTTTCGCGGACTCTTTACCCTCGCAGGCCTTATCCTTTGCAGCCTCTTTACCGTCGTGAGCCTTATCCTTTGCAGACTCGTAATTGTTCTTTGCAGCCCGTTTGCCCTCGTCGACTTTCTCTCCAGCGTTATCAGCGGCTTCCTGTGAGGCACCAGCAACCTGAACCAATACATTGAATCAATAACCAAGTCGTCAAATGTACGAGGACTTAATTCGGACGCCATGCACGTCACATGGGTCCTAAGTATTCGAGGCCAGTGATGGTCACTTTTTGCTGGTGTTCGACCTTCGTATCCAGACGCAGAGTATCCTTTACTGCAGCGCCGGCACCGTATACCATATCGGTGGTTTTGTTAGTTAATTCCTGGGCTTTTTCACCAGCACTAGCCAACATTCCAGACTAGAAAACGCATATTTAAGTAAATTAATTAAAACACAATTTAACAAAATAAAAATTGCTGTACAGTAATAAACCTACATTGTTACTCATTTTGTAAGCGGTAGTAGTTGATTTGATTTCTGAAAAAAAAACTCAATTATTAATAGGCGACAGACTTTTATTAGAACTGTACGGCGGAAGAGAGGCTACTGATAATCTTGGCCGAATGGTAAGTCACAGGTGGAATTGCCAAAAATTACTAGAAGTTAATTTACTGTAGGCAAGTTTGGTTAATGTTAAACTAAAAGAACGAGAATTTCTAACTAAGAATAATGAGCTGATAAAAATAATGAAATAATCGAGGCTATTAACTGTTCCGGAAATAAATGAGGGTGTACTGCTATAATAAAAACAAGGCATGCTATTAGAAGTGGTTGGAGAAAAGCCTTGTAAGTCAAAGAGGGCAACAGCTCGACTTCACTATCGAGAGCTGTCAGTCGCGGCCTTTTATGTGGTGCCCAAAGGGGCAGATTGTTTACTACGCCCACTGATCTCTGGTCCGCTATTGCGTTCTCTGGCACGGCGTGCTTCGAATAGTAAGGGTTTCTGTTTATGTTTGAGAAACATCGTACATATGCTCAGAAGCACTCATTTTGACCACTGAGTCTAGTTTTACAAACCCAATGTCTCTTTTTTCATACAAGAAGTTTCTGGACCTTTTAGGCTGTGCATCCCGATTTCAATACGTATTAGCTAGGATTCGATTGCGGTTCGACTCCACATTTGCAGACCAGATATGCCGATGTTCTACTATAGACAGCGGAACCCTTGTTCACAAGATGTCAAGGGCGTGTGAGCCTCGACATCTGTGTTAGGAGTGCGCCATGCATTTAACTTCTGCGCCAAATTTTAACGCCAGCGGAACACACCAAAACATCATTTCGAAATCAGGAGATTTTATACACACTCAACAAAAAGTTTATTGCGATTATACCTAGTGCTGTTGCAAGAAAGAAATGATCTTGAGCAGGAAGATGTAACACAGGGAGGAGAGCTACATCTCTGCAACTTAAAACCAAAGTGAAGTTCGCTTCAGCAAAACAAAACTTCTACTCTTCTATTTACCTTGCCGGTACCCATTTTTATAAGACGTTAGAACAAACTTGAATAAACGGCAACAGAGCAGATCATCTAACATGCCAAAATGTTCCTCTTATACGGATATTGAATGGAGGTTGGTCACGTGGCGCATCCTGAGGGACTGAGAGACGGTAACCAAAGTGCTCTCCGACCGCCTATCTTTATTAATGTAGATGAAATGGCGACACAAACTCTTGAACCTTTCGAGCAATTGCTGAACACTTTTTCATTGATTTTGATGAAATTTCTTGAAAAACTTGCCGGTTCTCTGCTTCGCGCAGATCAACATGGATGGCCATAGGATGGTAATCACGGGTGCAACACGGTGATAGGTGCAAAATTTCTCTTAAAGGTGATGATTTTAATTCGCTGTAGTTTTTTTCTATCGCTGTCGGCAGCCAGAACCTGATTGTTCTCTAGGTTTCCCTTTTATGGCAACCACCATTGTCATATTCATGTTTGTATGTTTTCAGCTCTTTACAACTATTTTCAATAATTTTTTACGGTCTTTTTTCCCGTGTCAAAACTTTGAACTCAATTCCGCTCCTCGGCGCTCATACTTTAGGCGGGGAACACAAGCGAGTAAGCCAGTTATAGGCCTTGAGATGAAACCTTAAGGAAAAAGGATTCTGGGAGCGGATGTGAACAATTTTTGTCCTCCCTAGCGTTTCACACATCTCCTGGGGTTACCCGCAGTGTTACCTCATCGCGGTTCTCAATTTTGAATGTTCCCCTTCCCTCGTCCCATGTCCACGAGCGCACGCTCTGTCTTCAGGCGCAGTACTGCTCAGATTTTCTCGAGCCATCGCTTCAGCGTTAGACATGTCCAAAGTCTACTCCGGTATTGAAATCCGTGGTAAATATACGGCAAAATATCCACACCATGGAGAACCTGTGATGGGTGGAGTAATTCTGCATATTCTTCAAATTCAAATATTTCTCATTATTGATCAACAAGTGTGCTGAAGCAGATAAAAGGGTCATGGAACAATCTTGTTTGCGATCGCTGCTTTCATATGTTGGTTCGAACTGATTTTTGAATCCTTCATTATTGTTGTTGTTGTGTAATCAATTGCTGACTAACTGACGCGTTTATGATAAGCAAGCGATCAGAAACAACGACGATTTCTCTGTGAAAATCGGGTCTACAACCGATAACACGAACAGGAGCGTGAAAATGGCCCCTTAAAAAATGAAATATCTGTGTTGGGCGGCCGCATGCGCAACGATGGCGCACGATTGCCATGCACGCTCAGCTAGTGCGGGCTCGCCAGCGCAAAATCGGCTCGATACGAAATTCTACTGAGGCAAGGCGCCAGTTTAAGGGTTGAGTTATGCAAGAAATACCTTAGTCTGAAAATAATTTGGCGGTTTCTTAGTATTGTGCTGTTTCGGAGCCTCATCAGGACCTAAACGATAACACAAAACGGCTCCAAGAAATTTTATTCCAAAAGAATTCCAAAAGTTCACAAAAGTCCAAATACTCCAAAAACAAGCCAAAAATCGAAAGAATTCTTTGGAAACTTCCGCGATATTTCGGTGTATAACACCTTCTTCAGGACTTTAAAAAGAAATTTATAATACATATAATAAAATAACAAT